ATTATCTTTGGTCATACAGGGATGAGGACATCTGGAAGAAAACCTCATTTTTTAACCAAGGTCACTGCTGGGCATCTACCAAAAAAAATCTACTACATTGGGGCCCATTCAAAATAAATAGGGTGTGGTAATACAGTGTGCTGCAACACATGAACAAATGTGTTGTGGTGCATGTTTTCCCATAACTGATGGTAGTGTGAAAAGGGCCTTCTGTGATGAATATAAATGTGCATCAGTAAATGCAAAATGGAAGGAAATAAGAATGCAGCAAGGTAGTAAAAATGCTGTTTTCCTGGCTGTCACACTGGTCTTCTGGCTTCAGTACTTTTGATACTTTGACTTCCTCATTTTGCATAGTTGCCCCTATATTTCACCTAGGAAAGGTTCACTTTAAGGAAAGATAACAGCATTGTATAATGTTGTACATGTTCTTTTTTATCACTGTAGCATGTCATATATCATTAACATAAAAATGTAAGCATTAAATCCCCCTTGAAAAACAGATCAGTTAAATATGTCAACAAACATGTATAATTTATCGGTTTAAAGCAGTTTAGTATTTCAAATCAATATGAAAATGAAATGTGGAAACTTGGCTTATGAAGATCATCAATCAATGCATGACATTATACAGATTTATTTTCCTGAATGCTTTTTAAAAGTGATCACCACCATTCTTGGCACTGTTAGGTATGGACATGTGTTTAGCTCTCTTTAGCACTGTCTTGGATGCTTCCTAGCATAAATTAAAGGGTAATTGTAGATCAGTTTAATCTAAATAATCTAAACACACACATACTGTATATACATTATGTGCTGTTGTGGCGACAGACAGGGACACCCAGAATCAAGAAGAAGAATTCAAGCAGGTTTTTTCCTACACTTTTATTCAGTGAGGAAGTAAACAAACATAGTTTTGATGCAGGAGGACTTTGTATGACAGGTCCACAGGTCCAAGCAAATAAAACACCTGCATGCCCAAGCAGGTAACCAGGGGCGGACTGACAACTCATGGGGCCCCCGGGCAATAGGGGATCATGGGGCCCCTGTGTCCTTGCCCAAACTCAAAAAAAGCCTATTAAAATGGTACCAGGGCATCTCGTGGGGCCCCCTACTGACCCTGAGCCCTCGGGCAGTGCCCGAGTTTCCAAATGCTCAGTCAGCCCCTGCGGTAACTAACCCTTCCAAATTGTTTCTCCAAACAAACAGGCAACACATGTACCTTTTTAGCATTCTGTCAGCACTCAGCCTTTTCACCCTGGAAATCCTGACCTTTAAGCTGTAACCTGTTCCCAGAAATCTTGTACACCATATAGCCTCCAGCCCCTGTGACTCCTGCAAATTTTGGTGTACTAACCCCCACCCCCCCCCCCCCCCCCATTGGCCAGCACGCCACTGAAGCCTTTGCCTCACTTTGCCTTGACTGTCAGGAACTGGGGTAGCAGCCTGGGAACAAGAAGCAGCTCTCCACCCCCAGGAGCTCTGAAGAAGGCCAAGCCTGTCTTAGACTACACTTCTTAGTAAACCCAACAGTGGTCAAGTTAGGCTCTCTCCAGCTGTAGTTGGCAAGTCCATGACACATATACTGTATATAGGCCTGTGTACAGATTAGACCAATGCCTTTCTCAGGACTCAGACCTAAACTCAGGACCATCTGGCCATTGCTCTTGCTGAGCCACCTGAGGTGCTGGACAATTTCCTGCTTGCTACCTTGGACAAACCATACTTTCTACAGTATCTTGTTTCTGTTGAACCTTGAACTCCTTGCTTCTCCCTTGAACTTCCCATTTAAGCCATACCTTTGCACTTCCTGTTTGCCAGGTTATTGTGCTCTTCTCTAGCCAATATTTAGCTTCTTGTGCTCCTGCTGCCATCCATATCTGCACTACCTCTTATTACCAATAGATTTTGCTTGTTCCTCAACTACACTTCCACTTGATCCCAACCTGCAATCACTTGTTACCAACACTTGGCTTATTTACCAACTACGCTTCTGCTTGATCCCTACCTGCTACATCTCTACCCTGGCTTGCTCACCTCCTGGTGGGGCGGTCCTTGCGACTGAGATCTGGCACTAGCATGCACCAAAACCCATCTCCCTCATTAGAAACTCTGGTGAAGACAGGTTATTGCTTAGACCCAGTGTCTTGGGTGAGCCCACATCACCTGCCAGTGGAATCTGCCCTTGTATTTATCCTGCTAGTTTTTGTGTGAGCATGTAAACGTCACTGGCTTCCGTACCTGACCCCTGATAATGACATGTTCTATGCTACTGTATACCTTATATGGGTGACAGCAAAGGGCTTATTTACATTTACATTTTTGTAGTCAAATTTGAGAACCCTTACTATATGTTTGTTTCGTGTTACAGTTCAAATAGCATACCTCCTAGTTGTTTCTAGAAAGCAGAGTTATACACAGGACTCTACCAGCAGCTTCTTTTGAATAGAATAGCTTCCAACAATGCAAAATTAGCTTAAAGACAAAGTCATTTTTTTAAATGCATTAATACACAATGTACAACACCCACGCTTTGAGATCTTTGACCCTTTGTTAGGACAGTGTGCATATTTAGTTAACTCTTCTAATGAGATCTGCAAGCACAGTAATAGCAGATTTAATCATGGTAAACATTACTCCCTAACGCCCTCATTATTATTGCATACAGTAGAGGAAAGCTAGGTAGATTTTTTAAGAAAGTAAAAAGCAAGTAGAAAGATAAGAGGGCTGAGTTATGCTATGTGAAAGGTGGAGTAATCCTGGGGACCACAACTTGATACTAGTGAAACCCATCTCCGCTATCAGTAGCTCTGGTGGAGACCACCTAGTTAGACCCCGAGCCTTAGGTAAGCCCGTGTCAGCCGCCAGGAGGACCTCTTTGTGTATTTATCCTGCTAGTTTCTGTATGGACCTTTCCACTACTATAGCTATTGGCCTCTGATCCTGACCCCTGACTGTGACAACCATATTACCTGGCTACCAGGCAAGATGTGTATGTAAGAATGGAGGCTTATTCTTATGCAAAGCTCTACAAAACTTCTGGGCTTCAGGACAGAGGACTCAATAAAACTGAGAAAAAGCACATTGTTTTCTCTGGATCAGTCAAGTGAGAAAATTAGGTGACACATATGCACCATCCACAATGCTGCTATCCAATGCCTCACATACCCTCCCCCTCTGCTCAGACCAGTGGGAAGGATCACATTTTGTTAGCATACAATGGCCATGTTTCATCCATCAACATTTCCTTGCTGGGTCCCTGGCCAGTGTACAAAAAAGCAGGAAGCTCAGGCTTGAGCCTTTTATTTTTTGATCATACTGCCACTCAAGACTGAGAGATGCTCCATGGTATGTCATGGTACCCTTAAGAAAATGGGTACACAAAGCTAACTTCTGGTTCATGAGGTACCCAGTTAATCATCAGTTACATCTTTCCAAGAACTTACCAATATGGAATCCCACAACTGGTCTTTCATGACCACCAATATATCTATTATATCCTGTATTTCTGCCATTGGGCAGTTTCCTTTGACTCCCCAAAAGTTTTCAACACCCCATCAGGTTCAGGAAAAACAGTAACATTTATTTTAGATATTTTCAGAACTTACTGCATAGAAGTTATTTCTGTAGTGGATCCTGTTAGACAGCATGCAGATGCTGTCTTTAGCAAGCATAACCACTGACCAGTTTCGGGGTGGATCTTCTTTAGCACAGCAACTACAGGGATTTTGTCTGTGTAGTAAAGGTTGAGCAGGTCCCTTCCTGCTCAACCTCTATGTGATATAGCAAGTCTATAAAAAATGTTCATGAGTACCACATTTTACAATTTTAAAAAAAGGTTGTATGAAGGTGTCACAAGATGCTTCTGTACTGTTTGTTTTATACCATTTTAAGAACTTCAAAAAAATAGGTTGCGCTTAAATACATGCAAAAGTATAACAAGAAAATAAATAACGAAACAATAAGAAACAATATTATAAATCAAAATAAAATACAGCAAAAACGAAAAAGTCCAAAAGTTCAAATAATCAAAAATGTCCAAAATAATTCATCACCAAGTAAATCCACCACCAAAAATGGTTAAATAGAACTCACCAGAGTAATATGCTGATTGTTGAAAAACCAGCATATAGTACTTGTTATTCTGGGAGAAATTAATAATATGGTGACAACAACACTGAAGAAATGAGGGATGAACTCCAACACATGATGTGCTGCAAAGTTGAAAATCCACTCCAAAGGTGATTTAGTATCCAAACTGAGATGATCAGACCGTCACTCAAAAGAAAAAAGCGAGCAATCATGGTGCAGTATGTTTTAAAAAGCATCAAACTTTAATAAAGAAATGCACTTACAAGCAAGGTGTCCAGACTGACACCAGTGTAAACAGCATGTATAATGAATATAGGCGACTCAGACCCAGCCAAACATGCACATGGAACATGCAGACAAACCAGGAGTATTCTGAACCTCACATCCAAAGGCACCGCCCTAAGCTTTTCGTCATCGACGTCCTCACGGATTTTCAGAACTGATTCACAAAGCAAAGGAATATCACAGACTATTATTACACTTTGTAGCAAGTTAACCATTCCATTACATAGTTTTACAATTTCATTGGTGTCTCCACTGAGAGCACCAAATAGGGTAGTCTTTTGCCATGGCATGTATACAAGGTATTCCCATTTGGTCTGAGCGAAGCTTGTTAGGGTCCACCAAACCTGCAATCACCAAGTTAACAAGGTTTTCAGAGTCTAATAATGCCTCTACCAGGTGTCTTTCTATTGTAATAGGTCCTATGCAGTATGTGTTCCAGTTTCTAGACGTGCTGTTAGAACAGTCTTGTCAAATAATCACATGCACCTCTCCTGATTACTTTCCATAAGTTCTTTCAATATGGGACAATAGGCAGCCTCATGTCCTGCTTCATAGCTTTGTCAGCACCCAATATATTATATATATCTCAAGGTAGAGTCTTATAGTTGAAAAGATAAAATACCCATAAGCAGGGGCGGACTGACAACTCATGGGGGCCCCGGGCAATAGGGGATCATGTGGCCCCTGTGTCCTTGCCCAAACTCAAAAAAGACTATGAAAAAGGCACCAGGGGCATCTCATGGGGCCCCATACTGACCCCGGGCCCTCGGGCAATGCCCGAGTTTTCAAATGGTCAGTCCGCCCCTGCCCATAAGCAGCAAAAAGCTATATTAGTAGACCAATAGAAGAGTTTATAACTAATCTTGTCACTGAGACTCGGATTTTCAGTGGCTTTCAATTGTTCTGTCCATGGATAATCATTAAATTAGATGTGCTGATCACTTTAAGTAAAAGCCAACATGCCAAACTACTGGCAAATATTAGTGCAAAAACTGAGATATATACAGTATGTGACTGCTGTATACATGATTACACAAAAAACAATCAATAAACATTTTATTGACAAATCCCATGCTTTGTCAATCGTGAAGAAAAAAAGTGCCAACAGTTAACCACTACAAACTCAAACAAGAGCTTTGGTGCGTATCCCCAGCACTCTACAGCTCCTTACCAGATGTAAAGATCTCAACACAACGAGACCTGCATGTGCCTGCCTGTCACACAGCTATAATATCTGACCAGCAGGGGCGGACTGACCATTTGGAAACTCAGGCACTGCCTGAGGGCCCGGGGTCAGTATGGGGCCCCATGAGATGCCCCTGGTACCTTTTTCATAGGCTTTTTTGAGTTTGGGCAAGGACACAGGGGCCCCAAGATCCCCTATTGCCCAGGGGCCCCATGAGTTGTCAGTCCGCTCCTGCTTACCAGTATTCTGGCTCAACAAATGTCATAAATTGAACATTAGAACATAGGGCAAAGCTCATAGTGTAGGATTTAAAATTATCTGGATTTGTTATATAAAAAGCCAATCACATAGAAGCATTGAAGGACCAGCATGTACAGCATAAACAAAACAGCTTTGCCAATGGTCCCCCCAGGCATTCACAATGATGTCACTGATCAAAAATTGCACCCAATGTATTTCCGCTCAACAGGTATTGTCCGGGAGGGATACAGCAATGGAAGTCCATGAACATCCGAGCCTACCATGTGACACTACCATGACACTATCATGAACTCCAGATAAGAAATTCTTTATTATAAGGCCTGTGATCATCCTTTCACATCTGGAGGCTTGCTAACACTACCTTCAAGTCTCATTACAGACCCTGGGGTTGAGACACTGTTTAAAGTCTGCCCGGGTAGAAAAAGGACAGATTATGTAAGTTTATATAAAATTCTTGCGAATTCTTGTGTTCTCCAAAACATACAATATCAGAAAGGCTCATACATTTGCAAAGCATTATTGACTAAATTGTTTCAAAATAAGGGGGTAATTTACACCTGGCAAGCTTTGCTGATATTGTATGTTTTGAATGCTTTAATGAGATTAAATTTATGTAAGTGTTTAATTTAGTTATTGATTAAAGTGGTTATAAAGCCTAAACATGTTTTACCGTAATGCATTCCATTCCTTCCTCAGAAATCTTTTCCGCTTCTTCAAGAGTATGCAGGTTCATTCATACGGAAGTACATTTTTTCATATACAACATGTCAATGACAGCACAGATATTACATCTCATAACAATAACCTGTAGTTTCATTATAGGCCTGAGGTTTAGACGGTATTCAACATCCCACCCAGTAGGACAAGGATGGATTCTGCAAGTTTATATATTTCATTTTTACTGTTGTTCCATAATGTGAATTAAATGTTATTATGCTTTATTAATACCACCTATGCTACACTGTCTACCTTATCTTGATGAAAAAAATTAGTTGGATTTATTCAGTCCTTACCTTTGAATTAATATAGCGGGCGTCAGGCAATGTTTACAAGCAGGTTATTACAAGCATTAGTTGCTGTTCTTTTAAAATGTATAAGATCCAAATGAGAATTTGTATGAAATGTAAAAAAATGTTTTTTAAACTAAAGTATTGAGTCAGTGTAGTGCCTCAAAAGCCTGCTTATATAATTTTTTCGACTTTCATAAAGTGTTCTACACAAGCTGTCAGGGTGTAGATGATGGTTCCTGTGCCACAAACTGCTTCGCTAACAGGATTTGTATCTGCCCCTGTAGAGACAGATTTACTTGCTGCGGTCCCACAAAGGGGGCCTGGTGGGCTTTCAATCAACTGTTGCATTTGTCAGGTGGAAATGCAGTTCACCACTTGCAGTAGCAAGAGATTATTCTACTGCTAATAAAAACTGTTTTACAAGCTTCTGCATTTTATCCAGCAACATGTATCTGTCTCTGTAAAGCACCATGCAAGCTCCGAGACCTAAGGGGAACAGGCAGTGGTGTATTCATGTTTTATTCTGTTCTAGGCAACACAAGAATTGGCTGCCCCCAGCACCCAACATCATTCCCCCATTGCCCCCACCCTCCACTGCCTGCCGGCACCCCCCTGGCCGCTGAAAACCAATCAGCTGCTATCACCCCCCTTCCCCCCGTCACCACCGCCAGTCACCATCACCAGATCACAAGATTTAACCTGCAGCTGGCCAACTATCCATGTAGCCTTCCCACCAGGTCCCCATCCCTCTTGCCACTTCTTCTGGGGGTGGCGCTGCTGCCCTGAAAAAATGCCTCCAGAGGAAAATGCCTTGTTTGTCTCATGGTAAATACACAACTGGGGACAGGCTCAACTACTACTTAAAGTGGTAGACCATGCAGGAGGTAGGGAAACTCAAACAGTCTAAGCAGTTTTTTTCCTGCACTTTTCTTTAGCATGAGTATTGACACAGAGGGAGAGGGGAAGAGTTGCTTACACATTTCAGTGTGTGTTAATGCTAACAATACAAGAAATAAAAATAATTTATTTAGATGACAATTTCCAGTACAGCTACATTATATACAGTGGATATGAAAAGTCTACACACCCCTGTTAAAATGTCAGGTTTCTGTGATGTAAACAAAATGAGAGAAAGATAAATAATTTCAGAACTTTTTCCACCGTTAATGTGACCTATAAACTGTACAACTCAATTGAAAAACAAACTGAAATCTTTTAGGGGGGAAGTAAACATAAAAAAAAACTAAATGATGTTGTTGCATAAGTGTGCACACCCTCTTAGAACTGGGGATGTAGTGGTGAATTAACCAATCACATTCAAAATCATATTAAATAAGAGTCAGTACACACCTGCTATCATTTAAAGTGCCTCTGATTAACCACAATAAAGTTCAGCTGTTCTAGTAGGTCTTTCTTAATATTTTCTTAGTCACATCCTACAGCAAAAGTCATGGTCCGCAGAAACCATCCAAAGCATTAGAGGGATCTCATTGTTAAAAGGTATCAGTCAGGGGAAGGGTTCAAAAGAATATCCAAGGCATTAGATATACCATGGAACACAGTGAAGACAATCACCACCAAGTGGTGCTACATTACCAAGAACTAGATGTCCCTCCAAAAGATGAGAAGAAAACTGGTCTGGGAGGCTGCCAAGAGACCTAAAGCAACATTAAAGGAGCTGCAGGAATATCTGGCAAGTACTGACTGTGTGGTACATGTGACAACAATCTCTCGTATTCTTCATATGTCTGGGCTATGGGGTAGAGTGGCAAGATGGAAGCCTTTTCTTATGAAGAAAAACATCCAAGCCCGGCTAAATGTTGCAAAAACACATCTGAAGTCTCCTAAAAGCATGTGGGAAATTGTGTTATGGTCTGATGAAACCAAGGTTGAACTTTTTGTCCATAATACAAAAGATATGTTTGGCGCAAAAACAACACTGCACATCACCAAAAGAACACCATACCCACAGTGAAGCATGGTGGTGGCAGCATCATGCTTCGGGCTGTTTTTCTTCAGCTGGAACTGGGGCCTTAGTCAAGGTAGAGGGAATTATGAACAGTCCCAAATACCAGTCAATATTGGCACAAAACCTTCGGGCTTCTGCTAGAAAGCTAAACATGAAGAGGAACTTCATCTTTCAGCATGACAACGACCCAAAGCATACATACAAATCAACAAAGGAATGGCTTCACCAGAAGAAAATTAAAGTTTTGGAATGGCCCAGCCAGAGCCCAGACCTGAATCAGATGGAAAATCTGTGGGGTGATCTGAAAAGGGCTGTGCACAGGAGATGCCCTTGCAATCTGATAGATTTGGAGTGTTTTTGCAAGGAAGAGTGTGCAAATATTGCCAAGTCAAGATGTGCCATGCTGATAGACTCATACCCAAAAACACTGAGTGCTGGAATCACATCAAAAGGTGCTTCAACAAAGTATTAGTTTTAGGGGTGTGCACACGTATGCAACCATATTTTTGAGATTTTTATTTTTACTTCCCTCCACCTAAAAGATTTTGGTTTGTTGTTCAACTGAGTTGTACAGTTTATAGGTCATGTTAAAAGGTGAAAAAAGTTCTGAAGTGATTTATGTTTGTCTAATTTTTTTTTGTAAAAAACTGACATTTTCACAGGGGTGCGTAGACTTTTAATATCCACTGTAGGTTTCACTCAGGCCAGGTAAATACTGGAACTTTATCTTTTGACAGGTTAAATACTTTCCTACTTCAACACTAAAATAATAAGCTTTTTACACAATCTCCTGCTGTTCAAAACTGTCTGCCACTCTCTGAGCCAGTGACAACAAAACAACTTGTTTCTTCCCCTAAAAGCTGTACTCTGTTATGTAATTGTAATAAAGAATGTACTAATAATGCAATTACAGCAGCTCCTAACACAACTATTCTGATTTGAGAACCATTAACCTGCTTCATTTTAGCGATCACTTTTGACAAGGTAGGTACCTAACAACTAAATCTGTGACAGGCTGGGCTAAGTGACCTCTGAAGAATGGCTTATGTATAAAATGGATGTATTGTTTAACAACCTGTCTAGTTGTGCTTCCAAACAGCAGCTTTGCATAATTCTACATTTTACTGTAGGATGTTTTTTGTAGAGTTCATACTCAAATAATCTTTTGGTTAAGTTATTGAAGACCATAAAGCTTTGCATTGTGTTGTACAAATAACATTTTCCTTTTTCTGCTTTTCTACATGCTTGTTCGTGTGGTTAACCCTTTGAGGACCGTAAGGTTTTGGAACGCCAAAAGAATCAATTTTTTTGTTTTTAAAGTTCGTACATTTCAGTTGCTGTAACTAAGCCATTTCATGAAATAATTGGCAAAAAGCTAGATCCATTTGTTGTTTGTTGATAAGAACT